ATTGTATCCTTAATGGAAATTAGCTGCCTCACCCCTGAAGTGCCCAACACCCAGCAAGTCCCTGTGTTTCAAATTATCTAGTCCTTTTAGAAAGCCTGTCATTGCATCAAACAATTTATTCTACTAAATTGATTTAAAAATGGAATCATTCAAGAGACTGAATGATACACAGTTGACAGTCATGCAGAAGACAGGCAGCAGACCCAAGGAGTTTTTGTTGTTAGCACTGAAGAGAGACCTTGTCACTCTACAACTCTCTGAGAAGAGGTTGTAGCCTCATGGGGTTTGGTCTCTTTTCCAAAGGAATAAGTGATAGGAACAGAGGAAAGGGTCACAAGTTTTGCTACGGGAAGGTTTAGATTGGATGTTAGGGAACATTTCTTCAGAGAAAGGGTTATCCAGCACTGGCACAGGCTGCCCAGGGAAGTGGTGGAGTCACCATCCCTAGAGGGATTTAGAAGACATGTGGATGTAGTGCTCAGGGGCATGAATTAGTGGTGGACTTGGCAGTGTTAGTGTTTGGAGTCCACTGTCTTTAAAGATCTTTTTCAACCTAAGTGATTTTGTGATTCCATGAAGCTGCAAAACTGTGGGCCAGGTAATGATAGGATAAATTAGAAAGAGATAAAAAGTAGTTTTAGATCAGGAAATTATGCTGATTGGAAACATTATGCAGCTATAGAAAAGTTAGATCACTTAAAATCACCTGGGAATGAAGTAATATGTCCAGATTCTGATAAGGCCTCAGAAGAAAATACCAGCACCCACAGGTCATTTGAAGCTAATTACTTATAGTTGAAGTCCCATACCAGGAAAAAGATCATTACAAGGGTCAGAAAGGTCACTACAAAGGCCTTCCAACCAGAGGACTACACTCAAGCAGCTGTGAGCTCTCCCCATGAAAACAGCAGGTTTTGAACTGGAATGGCTCTGTAAAGAGGATCATCAAAGTTGTTCGTGCTGAAACTACAGAATTTGAAAACTAAAGCCCCAAAACCTTCATGTGATGATCTTTGCTGGGTGCTCTTATAGTGGCTGACTTTAAAGTCAGTCTTCTGCACTCAGTTGCCCACCTAAGCCAAATTCAGGGCTTTTTATGGCAACACAATGTTAAACACCAGCCCTACTGAAATTTGTGGGAGTTTTGGCAGCATTTGGCCCAAGATTTCACTTCCCAGCCTATCTCTAACAGTAAGAACATATACAGCTCCACAAAATTCAAAATCATGCTTTCCAAATCCCCCTTGTTCGCAGTGCAGGCAGTACATATCTCATGAAAAACAAAACAAATTAATAGACCCATTCATTCACATCAGTAACATTATTCAGGTGCTTACATTTTCACAGAAGAGAAAGAAAGAAAGAAAAAAAAGAAAGAGGAAGGAAGGAAGAGAGAAAGAGAGAGAGAAAGAAAAAGAAATAAAGAAAAGAGGAAAATAGACTGCCAGAGGTCTTTGCAACAGGTACCATCCAGTGTATTCAAAAGATCCCCCTAGTCAGAGAATTATTCTTAGCCCTATAGTAATCATCATATGTTAAGTTAGATGGCTGTCTCTCTACTGCTGGAAATACAACATGAAGGTCAGCCATGGCTTGATCTTTTCTAGGGCTGGCAGGAGTCCTAATACAAGTGGGAGGTTAGACTAGATGACTTCCAAAGGTCCCTTCCAACCAACATATATTGTAATTAAAAGGATCATGTTAATTAAAAATAAAAAAAGAATCTTTGAGATGTGCAGAAGACATTAAGGGCATTCATTTATAGAGTCTGGAAGAGGCTTTCAGTCACGCTGATTCTTTATCTTTGTACACCATATTTATATCTGACTACCACAGTTATATCTTACTTTGGTTTACAGTGGGGAATCTTTTGCTGAAAGACGACCACAACATTTTCTAGTTCTTCTTCTGCCCATAATTATTTTACAGCAAGTAGATATTTATTGATTAGGACAGTCTGCCCCCTTGTCTGGGTGTGAGACCCACCAGGTGAGTCAGCACATCCTGGTTGTTGCAATGAGGGGGCCCTCAGGTCCCCAGCACAGAATCTTTTGGAGAGTCCAGAGGAGGGACACCAAGATGATCAGAGGGATAGAACAACTCTCCTGCGAGGAAAGGCTGAGAAAATTAGAGTTGTTCAGCCTGGAGAAGAAAAGGCTCCAGGGGAACTTTCAGTTCTTAGAGGGCATCTATAAGAAAGAGAGGGACAAACTTCTTTGCAGGGCCTGTTGTGACAGGACAAAGGATAGTGGATTTAAATTAAAGAAGGGTCAACTGACATTAGATATAAGGAGGACATTTTTTACAATGAGGGTGGTGAAACAGGTTGCCCAGAGAGGTGGTGGATGCCCCATCCCTGGAAACATTCAAGGTCAGGCTGACCAGGGCTCCGAGCAACCCGATCTGTTGAAGATGTCCCTGCTCATTGCAGGGGGGGTTGGGCTGAATGGCCTTTAAAGGTCACTTCCAACCCAAATGATTCTATGATTCTAGGAAAAAGGCATCAAGAATTTGGCAGTGCAGGCTTTATGCAATAAATGTTGGATCCATGTCTTTTTTTGTGTTTTCTACTTGATTTTTTATGGGGAAAGATGCTTTCAGTTGTGACTTTTGGGAAGCTCAGGCCATGCACATAAAGGAAAGAGTTCTCCTGTCCATCCAAACACCAAGCAATGTCTTCATTTTTGAGTATTCAAACACCAAGCAATGTCTTCATTCTGAGTACCCAAACTAAAGCAGGTTGGCTTTCAGATGGGACACATTCAGCACTTTCTGAGAGCCAAGCCCAAGTGTCTGAGTTTAATGCATCTTATGAACAGGGGTATTTGGAATTGCAAGCTGTCTGGGAAAGCCTTGGTCTTCATGCAGTGCAATGACACCAAATTGGGGCAAAATCTGCCTGTGTCCCTGTGGTTTGCTCTCACTGATGGCAGCACTTGACATCACAAATAGCTCTTTAAAGAAGCATCCTGCCCAGTAATAACTGCCTGCTGAGTCACCTGCTTCCTTGCATGGTCCATCTTAATTTTTACAGTGGAGTTGTACAGTTTTACAGCAGAGACCAGACCTGCCAGACACTTACAAAAACTAAGCTGAACAAGAACAAAAGATGGAAAACATAAAGCAATCAGAGAGAGGTAAGGATGGGTCAAGCTGGAGGTCGTGCTTCCTGTGTTTGTCACACAGATAGTAATAAAGTACAACAATCCAGGACCTATTAGCATGCACTCCTGTGGCCAAATCTGTTTTCTCAAGGTGGATTTTATTGTGCCATGAGCACAATTAATTTTCACAACATTATTTTCATGGGAGGTGATTACACATTAAATTACAGCATTGCCATGCCTCCAGGCTTTTTGTAACAGTAGGAGAAATGATGGGCTGGAGAAGACAGCTGCGTTTGCACGTGGTATATGTCAGTTTACTTAAGCAGAACCATTTTACTGCTGCTGGAGGAATGCAGCAAAAGGTCAGTGTTGAAACTCTGCTAAAGTAAGCTGAGCACACATTCCATAGTGAACCAACATATGCTCACTACTTGCTTGATCAAAAAGGAAATTTCAGAGCTCTGCTACATACTTGCCTTGACCCTGCTCCATACCGCCTGTCCAGTGTGCATCAGGCAAACTGTTCTTTAATCCTGCATGGAATACACATTCTGGTTAGAGGATGCTTGAAATACTTGCATAACATCATTAGCAGCATAATCTTAAACTGGGCCTGTGCGTATGGAGTAGTGCAGGGTAGTATGGAGAGGGATGTCAAGAGAAGTGTTACATGAATGCATAAAATGTATGGTTTTATTTCTTAGTCCTTTGTGCCCATCACAACCTGACTCTGTCCAAATGAGACTCATCTTTGCAGGGGAAAAATAAACTCAACATTATTATTCAGCTCTTGCATTTTCTTCGCCTGTCTTCTTCAAATGTTTAATCTTCTGGAGTTTGTCCAGAAGTTTGACTCTGGGCAGTGTCAGAGGAAGAATTCTGTACTAAACAACATGCACAAGAAGCTGTACCAGCTTAATTGGGCTGTTAAAAAGTTGCAGAAGTGAAGCTCTTGTACCTACAAGAGCTTTAGGCTGATTTAGAACATGCCCTCATAACATCACTTGATAAAAATAAGACTTGAGCTTTTTAATAGAACGAATTACTTGGGTTTTATATTTAACCACAGTCACTGTTAAAGCTATAACTGGTTTTCAGAATATTTTAGGAATCTGATCTTGATCTTCCATATGTTAAAAACCATCACAACAAATGCCTTACACCTTGGTTCCTGACGAAGAAGTAACAAGGTGGCTGCAGCCCTTTCTCAAAATGGGACTTACAGGCTTTAAAAATATTATGCAATGATTGGTGTAATCAATTAAAACTAGTTGATTAAAAACCTCTGGGCTGTGCTTTGGGGGGAAGCTACAGTTGATTTCAGTGTATTGTATGGTCCTGGATTAGGAGCAAACCAGACATTTACTTAATAGTTGGACTCGATGATCCTTGTGGGTCCCTTCCAACTCAGAATATTCTGTGATCTAGAATCATACACAGATAAAAAAGTGGGTGTTAAAAAGGACACGTCTCCAGGATGAAGGACCACCACCTCCCTAAGATCCTGCTTTATGGTGAGCTGGCCACCGGCTGCCACAAGAGAGGAGCCCCGAAGAGGAGATACAGGGACTCCCTGAAACAACATCTCAGCCTTGGCCACATTGATCAACATAACTGGTCTACTCTGGCCTCCAATCAGGAGGTCTGGAGACACACCATGTATAACGCTGCTGTTTCTTTTGAGAATGCACGCAGGATCACTCTCGAGGAGAAAAGGCAATGCAGAAAGAATCGTACCTTGCAGAATTTACCACCTAAGGAGTCTTTCTGCTGTGCCTTTGGCAACCGGACATGCCTATCTCGTATTGGCCTTTTTAGCCACCAGCGCACTTGTGTCACACGTGGGTAGGACCTTTCCCAAAGCTTCGTTCGCGAAGCCCAGCCACAAGGAAGTTACCTGAAAAATGGCAGAAATTGCCTTTAATCATCTATACTGGATTGTATCATTTAATCTGAATAGTTTCCATGGTCGGGAATCACCCAGAGATCTGGTCAGTTGAGCCATTGGACAAAATCTCATCACCAACAATAAAAACAAGGGTTTTTTGCTTTCCTATTCATTACGTTACTTAAAAGTGGCATTTAGCATCCCTGTTCCTGCTGTAATGAGAAAACCATACGCGTGACAAACTAAACCCAAATTAAACATGCACCATGTCATTCCTCTCTTCTAATAAATAATACCAAGCAGATCCCTGTGGGGGCTGGTGGCTGTCACTTCTGTTTTTTCCAGCTCAGCCTTTTACCCTTGGACTGCCTGTCCCTGCAGAGTGGGAACAGCTGAGGAGGTGATGAGAGAAGCAGCGTGGGCTGGTGGGCACAGCAGCAGTTGGGAAGCCACAGGTTCTCTGTGGAGTCACCACTCTGTCTTCTGACTGTCATTCCAACTCCTGTAAGACATGGAGAGACAGACATGGCCACTTCATGAGGCAAAGATGGGTGTATTTGACTGTATCTGTGCTTGACGTTCCCTCTTCAGAAAATGAATTTATCATGAATAAGCAGTAAAGCAAGATTTTTTTTTTTCAAGGAAACTACAATCTCCCTAGTCCTAAATCTTCCACAGTTTCTTTCGGAGTAGATACTTTTTGCCACTTCCCTCCAAAAAAAATAGCAGTAAGTTGTTCTGTGATTTGTGCCTGCCTGTACTGTGTGAAATCTCAGTGAGAGCCCTTGTGGTGAGACCTCTCTCTTACCCTGTACTCACATGCATGTGCCGGAGTGGCCTAGCCAGGACCTCTGTGTGTGTGACATGAAGGATGAAGTAGGACCTCTGTTAACTCTCCACTATCTTGGGTTCCTCTTTACTGACAATAACAAACCATGTCTGAACAGGTCTTGTATATGTTTGAAGAGGCAGCAGCTGTAATGAGGTGACAGTTTTGGTTCAGAAGTTTGCTTGCTTCAGCCTCCAAGAGCTTATTAGCCCCCAAGAGTCTTAGCCAAGATTGCTGCCTGTTGTCCTGTTTATTCATTCTGGGTTTTGATATGACAACAAATCCGCCTCTCTGTTGGATAATGGGGAGACAAATAACAAATTAATTGTGCTATAACCATTTTTGTCACCCTCCTGCTACCAGGGCTCACAACTGCCGCTGATTAATTACCTATGCTGTGGCCCTATCCAAATTAGTCTTGATGCCACCGACACACTCCTCAGTGTTTATCAGTTTTATGGCTATTGGGGGTCCTTAGGTGTCAATACAGCCCAGCCCTACAACCTTTGCTGTATTTGGTACTCTCAGGCCCATGGTGTGACTCTTGGGGATGGTCCTGTACAGGGCTAAGGGTTGGACTCGATGATCCTTGTGGGTCCCTTCCAACTTGGCATATTCTGTGATTCTTGATTACTTTTTCCTGCTGCTTTCATACTGTGATTCGTGTTTCATTCATAATAGTCCCTGTATTTGTGTTATAAATCTTTACATGCTGGCCAACAAACACCAAACCACTAAAGATGGTCTGATGGGGCTCCATGGTCATTCTTGGGCTTACAGAGTTTTATGCAGGTTGTCCAGAGTCTGCAACACTTGCCCTGCCACAACAGTCAGATTTGCCACCTGGAAATCTCCTATCTCCTCTGACCACCACCAGCCTGGGGCTTCACAGGCGAGGTGAACAATTTCAGTCTGTACTTCTGAATGAGGGATTGCTCTTTCCAGGCCTTAAAATAGGGAGAGACTTTAAAGAGATTTGAAAATGGAACTTAGGATCCCTAAGTCATCATGCATTTTTTTGAAAGATGTGCTCTGCATCCATATCATGTTACTGCTCAGCTGCAGGACTTTTCTTAGACTATCTGAAAGTGGATCCTTGCTGCTGTGTTCCAAAGGGGATTATTTTAATATTGTACTAAAATACCGACAATGAAAACTCGTTACTTTAATTAGGCAGTAAGCACTGTCATCCTGGGTCTTAAGATTTCCAGTAAGTGGAGGTTGACTGCTGAAGTAAATTTTTACCATTTTTGAGTTTTTGGAGCGTTTCTTTTACTGCAAATGGTATAGGTCTCTCCCTTGATGCCTTCTGTGAAGGCACATGAATCCAGGACAACATGCTGTCTGAAAATTAAAAGGTTACAGAGTGTTTTCTGGAAACAGCTGCTTCATGGCCAAGAGCACAAGTTTAAGAATGAGACATCTTTTAGAGGAAACAAGGCTTACCTAGTTGAATGAGAAGCTCCAGGATTAACATTACAATTCATCTTCATATGCTAATACACAGAAACTCAGCAAACTGCTGACCACAGATCTGACTTCAGAATGGTTCCAGACTCATTTCAGCTCCGATGCAGAATTGCTGAGCAACACAAGACTGCAGTATTCACTTTATCTCCCAGCTGCACACCACTTTGTCTTGGGCCAGATACCAAGACTCCTGCTCTTATAAGGGCCAGGTGTCTCAGTGAAATCACAATTTTTAGCTGTTTAGTTTGGTTTTCAGGTCCAGCAGGAGAAGTCCTGATTTTTGCAAGTGTTCTGGCCAGCCTCTCCACACAGAATGCTGTCACACCTACTTGCTCAGAAGAAACCACCAGAGCAAGGCTGTCCCCTGGTCCACCATGGCCCTTAGCAGTCACTTTCCAGCTGGGCTGACTAAAAGGCAAAGCAATGCATCCCATAGACTTGTCAGAATTTATCCCCCCCTTTTTTTTTTTTGTCCTGCTATTCGGTATTTCTTCTAGGATCAAGAGTGCTGGAATGAGACACAGGGTATCCCACAAAGTGTGCCTTTGACTTGGGCCATCAGAATACCTTGTAGGGAATCTGCAGCACAAGTTAGAGAAACTCTTTTAGCCCGTGGCTTGTCTTTGCAATGAGAAACCTAATGAATAAAATATAAAAATGCAAAGGTGATTAAAAGATGATTTAAGCCGATGATGGAAATCCATCCATTACACTTGAAACATTCTCTAAGGGGGGAAAAAGTGGAAAGAAAATATTACAATGCATATTTTAACAGACAGTGATGGCTCTGAGATTAGGCAATGTTTCCAGGAGTCATGTGCATTGGGAATGGGTAGATCTTCAGACTGTAGAGAAACTAGGAAATGAGTGCTCCATGCTTGTAACAGTGACCCCGGGCTTTGGTTCCCACTGACACTGCCGTCTCATAAGGGCTAAGAGGCCAGCAAATACTAGTGATATTCCTTCCTAAAAATTATATATGCATTTTGCATAGATGAAAAATCTTGAGGTGAAGTAGGATGAGACAAAGATTTGAAGATTTTTCTTGTGAGTAAAAGGCAGAAGGTATGATTCCTTTGGTCACAGCCCCAAGCCTCGCAGAGTTCAAGGAGTGTTTGGACAATGCTCTCAGGCATGTGGTGGGATTGTTGGGGCTGTTCTGTGCAGGGCCAGGAGCTGGACTTGGATAATCCTTGTGTGTCCCTTCCAACTCAGCATACTCTGTGATTCTGTCATATTCAAGTGCTGCTTCAGCAAAAGCACAGAGGTTTTGAATGTCACCTGGCACAGGGTCTAGTCCAGTGCCTCCCAATGATTTTACAGCTGAGCCTCTCTCAAGAGAGCCATCACGATTACATACCTCACTGGATCTGACTGTTCACCTGCCTCAGGGCTGCCATGGGCTCCCCTTCACTCAGGGGTCTTGTGCTGAAGGGTTTGCAGTGGCTCAGGCCTCATATTACACTGCTCCTAATGTGAAACTCTCTCATGCTGGGTGTGCTCAGTTCAATTACCCTTCCAGGTACTCTCCTCCTTAACATGCAGGCATCTCAAATGACACAGAAGATGCAGTTTCTTTGCTGTGAAAAGCTGACAGTCATATTGGCAAAAATATTTGCATAAATCTCAGCTGTTTTCCTCCAACTAATATCTTAATAACTCCCGTGAAACTAATTTAAAAGATTAATTTGTCCAACCCCAAAGAAGCTGAAACAGCATCAGTGCAAAATGAGGGGAAACAAGCAAGGCAGATGGAAGGAGAAGCAAATTAAGATAGTCATATGTTATTAAAAAAATAAAGTGAGTATTTGCGCTTGGGGAAAGGAGACAGTGAAACAATAGGGAGCTGTGGCCATTTCCCCTTTTCCCTCTTCTTTAACACATTACCTAAGTCCTTGTCTTGCACATACAAATAAAATTGCACCCCTGCAGGAGGCAATTACACCCTCCCCAAATAAATGTGATCATCTTGAAGTCACCTCAGTGAACAACATGAAAGCTTAATGTACCCAGCTACGTGTCACTGCAGGATCAATGCTCCAGCCTGCATGCCCTGCTCAGCAGAATTGCCACTGCAACAAAGGCAGTAGGAGCAAGCCCAGAGGCTTCCTCTCCCTTTAGCATGGCTTACCTGTCTGTTAACCAGCCAGGAGTTCTCCTTTGAGAGGTACAGACCAAGCTTTAGCATGTGGATCGCTTAGGAAGAGATGCCTTGGATTTGCCGGGCATGTACAAAAAGAGCAATGGCCACTTGGAGCCAATTATCCCCAAATACTGAGACACTTGGTGATAGTGCCACCAAGGAAGTGGCTGCAAATTTTTCATTGCTCACTGATGAGGTCCTCAACTGTTTTTACACCTTCTCCTCTAAATAAGGAAGCTGTGAGGCTTCTGACCAGCCGTCCAATTTGACTCCTTTGGTCTCCACAGCCAATGAAATCCCACTCCTGCCTCCAGTCTTGGGTGACAGCATTCATCAAAGCTCGGCCAGCCGGGGAGGACGGCAGGTTACTGTTACAGCCGTGGCAGGCTTACCTTTGGCAAGCTGTTGATGTCAGAGTGATGATGTGGGGAGGGACAGCCTCTGCACTATAAAGATGGCTCAATCAAATATAACCGAGGCTGCCCACTGGGGAGCAGGATCTACAAAACATGTTCCCCACCAGTCGGAGTCCTGCTGGCCTGTCTCTGCTCCCAACCCAACTGCTCTCGGGCTTTAGTTTCAGGTCAGCAATCTCTATTTGCTTTCCAAAAATAAGCCTCTGCCACCATGCTGAAGGGAGAAAAACAAGAAGGGCGGTATTTTTAGGGCCATTAATTCTGACCACGTGCCCAGGAGGTGAACCGGATGGCCACTGCACAAAGACTCCTCATCACTATGTCCTGCGAAGCCAGCGTTCACCGGACGTTCCCTGCCTTCGTTCTCCTGGGCTTTCTAGCTGGGATTGCTTCTACACATCCCGTTGTAAGCAGAACTAATGGCACATTGCTGGAGAGAGGATGGCAATCTCTGTTGTCCAGGTCCATTGCTGGGATGTCAGGGGAGAAGTCAGATGTGAACTGGGAGAGTGACTATTTGCTAGGAATCAAGAGGCAGCGGAGGCTTTACTGCAACGTGGGCATCGGGTTTCACCTTCAAATCCTCCCAGATGGAAGGATAAGCGGAGTTCACAATGAAAACCAATACAGTGAGTTGCATCCAGAAATGAAATAGAATAGATGTCACTTAATTGCTGTGAACTCTAATAATTACCCTTCGCAGAATGCAAATGTTATTACTTGGTATTATTAATCTGTTGCCTTTTGAAAGTCTCTGGGATCAATAAACATCAGGACCCTTTCGGTTGAAACATGGCACAAATGCTTAGACAAATTTAGGTAGAATTTATTGTTACTCTGCTTTACTGCACGGATGAGAAAAAAAACGAAACAGGTTGAAAACTGACTCTTCTGCTGCACTTTCTCACTCCTCACCTTCTCATTTGCCTTTTGAATCCGGGAGGTCGTCGCTTTGTTCCGAGTGCCAAAGCATGATTTTTGAACCCCAGCTGACTGTTCCTTTTGGGAGACTTGGTGTGTCCCATGGAAGGGGCTTGCTGTTCCTGGTTTGCTCGTTCTTGTGGGTGCTGTTCTGTAGCTGTAAGAATAAAGAAAAACATTAGTCATATGGATTTGAATTTCCTGCACAGGGCAGTTGCTAAAATCTTTTGCAGCTAAGATGTCATGTGGGACTTCAAAATAGTAAGCCACACTCCTCTAAAGCTAATAACAAACCCTCTGGAAGTATAGTATATTAGATAAAAATAATTTACTTATAAGAAAGCCCAAGAGTTTGACAGATCAAAAGAGTCAGATAGAGCAAAGGGATTACACAGTGTGTGACTGATTTCAGAATAGTTATTTTCCAAGCCTATGGCATGTGGGAAAATGCAAGATCCTCTCTGTGTACCTCTAGACTAGGGAGATAACTCTAACAGAGAAAATATGATGAGTTCCTTAGGGTTTTAAAATAAATAATGATATATTAATTGCCTTAGATTAGCTCTAGATTCTGTGATAACACTTCTGCTTAATGTCTTATTCTTCAGGTCTCTTTGAGATATCCACTGTAGAGAGAGGTGTTGTCAGCCTGCTTGGGGTGAAAAGTGCTCTCTTCATCGCAATGAACAGCAAGGGGAGGTTGTATGGAACGGTGAGTGTCAGTGCAAATACTTTTTCAAGGTTTAAACAAAGACTGCAAAGGTTTTAGAGTGGTTTTGTTTGGTTTGGCGTTTTGTTTGCTTTTGGTTTGGGTTGGGTTTTTTCTTCACGGAAATCTGTGATTACAAGCGGGGAAAACAGCCTCGCAGCTACAGGGAACGTGCCCAGCCTGATGTCATCAGTGTTATTTAGTGCTGTTGGAGGTCTGGGATTTTAAAGCTTCCTAGTAGAACTGTACAGGGAGCACCCTGGGAAAATGCATGTATTCTACAAATAGGACAGATTAATTAAGTGGCTTCTTCTAAGGTCTCAGTGCTGCAAACACATTCTAGTAAAAGTGAACCCTGTTGATTCCCTTTTGCATTGCATTGTGTGTAGGAGAGGTACAGTTAGAGCTATTAGTAAAATAATGACCACATGCTTCCCCCTACCAAAAACAACCCCAGCATGGAAAATAAATAGGAAGTCTACCCTACAAGGCCAACATATGTGGTGGGGGTTATTTTAATGATCAGTTTTGTGAGATCAGTTGCAAATGATGAGAAAATAATGGCTATTAAGAATGGAATGAAAATCATACTGAAACACTGTCACCATGGTCCTCATCTGGATGATTTGTCATCTAAATGCAATTTAATTTCCGAGGTACGAGCAAGACATCTCCAGGACATTCAGCAGTAAAAGTGCTTGTTAGTAAGTGCATTTGGAAGAGGCTGGCTCTGGGCAACAGGCAAAAGCAGCCCATTTCGAAGTAATGAACAGCACTGATCTCTTTTGTCAAGGAATAGCGGAGTCTTTTCCTTTGAAACAGCTGTAATTTCAACAAAATATCTCAGTTGTTTAATAAAATGGCAAATGTTGTGAAGGACCCGTAGCCCCGTAGCCATTACTAACCTGACTGATTCCTTCTCTCATAGATAAGGGACATTTTGAGGTTCCACCCCAGGAATATTATTTCATTCATGTCTGATCACCAGCACTTAAAGAGTGCCACGAACCCAACTGTTTTGCTTGACTGGGTCTTCCTGAAGAAATGCGGGGTCTGGCTTCAGAGCTCCCTTTGATTTGCCCCTATCCCCCCCAGTTTCAATCCAGTTTTGTTTATCTTCAAAGACACTTTTAAAAGCTGTAAGAGATGTGTGTTTTCCCCCACACAACAAGCTTTGAATGGTGTTATCACACAGGTGTCCAAATAGCACAGCACTGGTGGCATCTCATGCGTCAGATATTTGAAGTCAGAGAATTATTCTGTCTCTTGTAATTTCTTCTGCATTTGTCTCCTTCTTGTCCTTGCATTCCACTCTCCCAGATGACTCCTTATCCTTGGATTTACATGATGTAATGTGGAGAAAAATAAAACTGTCTTCCCAGGTTAGAACCCGCTGCATAGTTAAATATCACTAATGATTAATCGACAAAAAGATTCATTGTTAATCCAATCTCTTATCTGAGCAAGCAGTTCTCCCTGGACATTGGTGTTTGTAAGAGAACTGAAGTTTGGACATCTAGCATGTCGTTTTTTTACAGGACTTCTGGCAGTGGGGAGGTATTAAATTAAGCTATGAAAAGGTGTGATGCTGACAGAAATCTTTCCTTGCAAATAAAATGAAGAAATCCATCATTTAGAATTAATTAAGTTGATCTGCTGCAGGAAGTGCACAGTCCATTATGTGGACAGGTGGTATCTGAGTTCATCTGACACCAAATTAGCACCGAGGAGGGAGATTTATTGTTGGACACAGTCGCTGAGGCACCACCTGTTGCTCACTGCAATGAGCCCTTCTGTAAAAATGTGAGCAAGAAAAATGACCTGGGCTTTTGTGAAGTATTTATTGTACCTGCTTTGTTCTCCCACCCCCCTCCCCTTACTGTGCTTCAGGCTGTCTTCCAAGATGAGTGTAAATTCAAGGAAACCTTGCTGCCCAATAACTACAATGCATATGAATCAAATGCTTACCGTGGTACTTACATAGCCCTCAGCAAACATGGGAGAGTGAAGAGAGGAAACAAGGTTTCTCCTGCAATGACAGTGACCCACTTCTTACCCAGAATATGAACATGAGAAGACTGAATCCCAGGAAAAACTGTTTCATTTTGCACATGGGGAATAAGCTCCCAGGTAAAGTAGTATTTATACTGGTCATTGAAAAAAAAAAAATCTATATATGTATGTGTATATTTGGATAAAAATATTTGTACTAGATTCATCACGTAGCATATGTAATATGATGCTGCTTCTCTTCTACTCTGTACAAATTTTACATGGCTGTGTGCCTCCTTTGGTGCTGTACAGAGAAAAAAAGCAAGCTGGAGTGCAAAGGATTTGGAAGAAAATTATACAAAAGTATACAAAAGAAGTATTTGGACTGGCTGTGGGCAACCATCTAATCAATCTAACTAAATCACTATTATTTACTAAATAATATTATTTACCTCAGATAATAACCTTTCCTAGTGAGCTGTTTACATATCATGGGCCAAATCACCAGACGATTTTGCTTCACCAGAGCTTCGGGCAGTTCACTCGATCTGAATATCTGCCTGCATCTCCCCTTCTACAGACTGTGTCCTGTCTTGCAAAGTCCTCAAGCTGTTTTGATCACAAAGGTGCCAATTCCACAACTGTTTCTACACAAGTAAACTGTTTATCCCCAGAGACCCTCTGTCTCTGAAGGGATTCTCCAGGGTCTCCTCACATGGACTGGTTGGTAAAATGAAGACCTACAATCAATTTCCCACAGGAAGGGCCATGGGATAAATCACAGATGGGTCCCAAATGCAAAACTTATTTGGAGATGAGGATTTTGAATGGCATTTTGTGAGCTTAGTTTAGACTTACCTCAAATATAGATGTGCACATCTTTAATATAAGTACTTGTATATGTATAGACATGGGATGTGTGAGTGTGTATCTATGTAATTACATGCTTTTAATGAATTAATCATCCCAGTCTCTCAAAGCCCGGGTGCCTTTATATGCATACACACCTAAAAGAACATAAATATTTAAAGGCACTGTGTTTCATTTAGGCTGAACTTTGTTAATCTCTAAGAACTAGAACTGGTCTGTAGGATGCATTTTATACAATGTAAGAAATCCATGGAAGCTTCCAGCAAAGGGTTATTTTAGAAAACTTCTCTGTTTTGAATTTTCTATTTACCGCCTTAAATATATTTGGTTCTTCCCTATCAT